GAAATTTAATATTTTAGTTCAGTATAGTATGGATTTTAATAAATAAAAAATAAATTAAAATAAAATAAAATAATAAAACAAAAAAAAGAATACCGATATGTATTACTGTATTAATTAGAAGATCTCGCTTTTTTGAATTCACGATTTTGATTAGTCAGTAATCATGTGTCCACGTCTGACAAATCAGGAACTTATGCGTTTGGACTATTAGATATTAGAAATGGCAAGTTATCGGATATGAATTAAGGAACAGACCCGGTGGATCGATTTTTAACTGATTATGGCAGGTTATCAGTTTTGACAGGATCGGTTTGGGAGGACCGACAGTATATGTATAAAATTTTGCAAACTTTAAATTTTTAAGTTTATAACTTAACAGACTTAGTAGTGATAGTATAATTAATATATATTTTGTTTTATCACAGATTAGATTTTTTACAGACAAGTTGTTAAGTCATAAACTCAAAGTCTAAAATCAAGTTTTTTTTTAAAGCACTTGTATGTTTTAAGTTCTTAACTTGTCTAATTTAGAGGTAAAGAATTATTTTCTTTATTATTATCTTGACTACATAGCTATTACTAACTACTCTTACTCAATTTAAAATTCACTGGATCTAAATTCTCTTCTACTCATTGTCTGTCAAGTTTAAGATTCTGCAAAATTATAGTATTTTTTCTAAATAATTAGCTCATTTATAGTCTACTTAATAAATTCTTAATAACTTGTATACTAAGGTTTATATGATGTATAACTCGTCTTCTAGCAAGGTTTTTTTGCTAGGATTTAATTATAAGAAAGCTAAATACTTATATACTATTTCAATTACTAAAAAACATATTTACTATATATTGTGCTTAAAAATGTATATAATATCTTTTATCAAGTTTATTTATTCATATTTATTTAATGAAGAATTATTCAGAGCAGCTATTGTTATAGTTATACAGCCAAGCCACTCAAGCCCGTGACTCAAGCCCAACTCAAGCCCGTGACTCAAGCCTGACTCAAGCCCATGACTCAAGTCCCATTCAAGCTCGACTCAAGCCCGTAACTCAAGCCCGTGACTCAAGCCCGAAGCCCAGATTCATTATGAATCCAAGACTTCATTTGTATAAGAAATAAAGTAATCCAGTTGTAATAACAAAGCCATGTATTAACAATGTAGTTATAGTTTCATAAAACCTTAGCAATCATATGATAGCAATTAGTAATTAATAATAGAAGAATTACAAGATAAAAAGAAAGAAATTGTATGCTTATTTCTTTAGTCTGTTCAATAAATTTTTTGTTGTACTATGCTTAAATTCCAGCTGCATCTTGTATCATAACAGTTTGAACAGACTAAATAACCCATAAACCCATAGTTATATTGATTATAAATCTCAAACCTAGTACTCAAACAAATCTATTATTAATAAAATTTATCTAAAGAATAAAAAACAAACAGCAGTAGTCTAAAATAGACAAACAACCAGGCCTCAATACTATTCTTATTGTATTACAACAAATCCAACAAAGAAAATTAACTTTTAAAACAAGAGAACATGAACTTTCGCAATGAACTTAACCAACTCCAGTTGCAAGGAGAGGCTTATAACCACTCAAAAGAGCCAAAAGTTAGCTTGCTTGACAAGTTTGATGGGACCCGCTCCAAGTTTAGAGGGTTTCTAAACCAAATATGGCTCATTATCTGTCTACAGCCTAGCCATTATCCTAATAATAAGACTCAGATAGGGTTGCTTGGCAGTCTGCTTGTAGGCCTAGCATTGGCATAGTTTGCCCCACTCTTTGAAAAAGAATCACCATTGTTGGAAGATTTCGATGATTTTATTGGGAAGTTCGAAACTACCTTCGGGGACTCGGACAAGATCAGAACAGCAGCTACTAGGATTAGAAAACTTACCCAGGGATCCAAATCAGCCTCAAGCTACACTTCAGAGTTTCGTCAAATCTCTAGTAATCTGGATTGGGGCAAAGTGGCATTAATCGATCAATTTTTAATTGGGCTTAAAAACAATATGAAAGACCTATTACTTACTATGAAAGATTCTACATCATTAAACGATACAATATCTAAGGCAGTATGCTGCGATAACAGATTGTTTGAGTGATGTCATGAATAACAATGTCATAGTTTAGATCAGGGTGATTTAGTAACCAATTATAGTAGATCCAGTTTAACCCCAGAGCCAATACAAATCGATTCAACAAGGGCAAGGACTTTTTCAGAAGAAGAAAAGCAGAGACATGGGCCAATAATCTCTGCCTATACTGTGGCGAACCTGGGCATATAGCTAAGAGTTGCCCGAGGAAAAATAATGCCAAGCATAGAATCGATGCTATGAAAACAAATTTGGAGAACTTAGGAAAAGAGGAGCCCCAACTGCAGTAAGGGGTCTGCAGTTAGATAGCACTTGTAACAAAAGCCCCAAACAACTAATTCTCGATACTTTAATAGATACTTTTGTTATACCAGTTTCCATACAACTTTTGAACAAATCCATGTTGTCCGTCAATATATTAATAGACTCTGGAGCTTCAGCTTGTTTTCTCGATTATATGTTGGCATACAAATACAACTTATTTATCAATACTAAAAGCACACCGCTATCAGTAGAAGTAATAGATAGATGAGAAATATCATCTAGAGCAGTTATATATAAGACCGGGCCATTGCTGCTGTGTTATCAGAACCATTACAAAGAAATCATATTTAACCTAATTCAAACGCCACACCATCAAGTTATTCTGGGACTATTATGGTTAGTCCACCACAACTCTAATATTAATTGGCACGAGTATACACTAAAATTTCCAGATGCAGATTGTAACCTACATCTTAAATTCCCATTGACAAAACAACCAACAAATCACATCAGTACATCAGAAAGAGTCTTCTTGGCTCAAGTCTTCCACATAGCCTCTGTAAGAGAGGATTCCGTTACTGCTACCCTGACACTCCCAACAAAATATAATAACTTTAGTGTTATATTTGATGAAAGAGAGGTGAATAGATTACCAGAGCACAGACCCTATGACTATGCTATAGACTTAGTACCTGGAAAACAGCCTTTATGGAGGCCTATATATGGACTATCAGAATTAGAATTAGAAACACTGAAAAAGTATATAGAAGAAAACCTAGACAAAGAATATATTAAACACTCTAAGTCTCCCACTGAGGCCTCTATACTGTTCATCAAAAAAAAGAATGTGTTATTAAGGTTATGTGTAGACTATCGTGGTTTGAATCAAGTTACTATAAAAAACAGATACCCACTTCCTCTTATTTCAGAATTACTATATTGTCTATCCTCAGCTCGAATCTTTACTAAAATAGATCTGAGAAGCACTTACAATCTAGTTAGGATCAAACTAGACAATGAGTGGAAGACTACATTTCGTATCCATTATGGTCTTTTTGAATATTTGGTAATGTCTTTTGGGCTTACAAATGCTCTGGCAGTCTTTTAACATCTGATGAATAATGTGTTCAGAGATTTTTTAGATAGATTCATTATTATATACCTAGATGATGTTTTAGTATACTCAGCAGCCCCTAAAGAACATACCCTACATGTAAAACAAGTTTTAGAATAACTCCATCAATTTGGTCTGTATGCAAAACTAGAGAAGTGTGAGTTTGATAGAAATTGTGTTGAATTCCTAGGGTATACCATAAAGCCTACAGGGATAGAAATGGATAGAAAAAAAGTTAACAATTTGCTTTCATGTCCCATACCCACAACTCTTAAAGAAATACAGCAGTTTTTAGGATTTGCTAATTACTACTGTCACTTTATAAAAAACTATTCTCAAAAGGCTATGCCTCTTACAAACCTAACTCAAAAATCAAATAAAGGGTTCAAATGGACCAAAGATACACAAATAGCTTTCAAGAGATTAAAGAAAGCTTTTATCTCAGCCCCAATTCTGGTATACGCGGATTCTAAAAAACAATTTTTTTTGAAGACTGACACTTCAGACTATGCTTTGGGGGCCATACTGTTCTAACTTCAAGAAGATGGCCATCTGTACCTAGTTGCATATTACTCTCAGAAATTCTCATCCACAGAAGTAAATTATGATATTTATGACAAGGAGCTTCTAGCTATTATAACTGCTTTTAAACAGTAGCGTCATTACCTAGAAGGGGCCTAACATAAAATTATCATCTATTGTGACTATAAAAATCTTCAATACTTTACTTCTGCCTAGCTCCTCAATTGTCATCAGGCCTGTTGGTCATTATATCTGTCCAACTACGAGTTTGAAATCCTATTCCGTCTAGAGAAAGATCAAGGAAAATCAGATGCACTGTCCCGCAGACCTGATTATAAACCTCCTCAGGGCGAATCCATCTCTTACCAAACGGTACTGTTGAAACAAGAGAAAATTCACCTAAATGCTGTTTCAACAGCACCATTAGATTATGTCTTTCAGCAACGTGTAAAATCTCAATTAAAAGCAGATCCGCTTGCCTTGGATGTTATAAAACATCTGAACAATACTATTACAACTTATAACAGCTCTTGATCTGACTACTATAAATTTTCATATGAAGATGGTCTGCTTTACAGAGATGGGCTATTATATATACCTGGTATAGCAGAACAACTTGAGGTATTGCAGGCTCAGCATAACTCTAAGTTAGCTGGGCACTTTGGAATAGCTAAAACTATTGAATTAGTAACCAGAGACTATTGGTGGCCCAATCTCCAATCTTTTGTATGAAGATATATCAGAACTTGTGACATGTGTGCTAGATCAAATACACCAAGACATCATCTCTACAGATTGTTAATACCTCTGCCTATTTCTTCACACCAATGGCAATCTATATCTATAGACTTCATAACTGACTTACTTATATCCTTGGGTTTCAACTCTATTCTAGTGGTGGTGAATCATCTGACGAAAATAGTCCATTTCCTTGCTTGTCATAAAAATATTAATACTGAACAAACTGCCCAGTTAGTGATTTGGAAAATAGTCTATCTACATAGAATACCTAAAGAAATTATCTCCGATAGAGGGCCACAATTTGCTTCCTAGTTCTGGAAGCACCTCTTTGAACTCCTAGAAACAAAAATTAGTCTATCTTCAGCATATTATTCACAAACAGATGGGCAGAGTGAGAGAGTTAATCAAGTACTAGAGCAATACTTAAGATGTACTATAAATTATCACCAGGATGATTGGGCCGATCTTCTACTTTTAGCTGAATTTTCTTACAATAACTCTATGCATTTATTAACAAAAACCACCCTATTTCTTGCTAATTACAGATTCAGCCCACATTTCAATATCCAAGCATCTTCATGACCAACTGTACTATCTGCCAAAGATAAGGCAACTCAATTACAACAAATTAGAAAAGAACTTCTGCAAAAATTGAGGGCCGCACAGAATCGTTACAAAAAAAATACTAATCGATGATGACAAGAACCACCTTTGTTCAAGATTAATGACTAAGTTTGGTTAATAGGAAAAAATATTCACACACAACGTCCATCAGGAAAATTGGATTATAAAAAGTTAGGGCCTTATAAGATCATAACTCAAATTAACCCTGTAGCATATCGCTTAGACCTACCTCCTTCTCTCAAAATCCATGATGTATTCTACATATCTCTCTTGAAACTATATATGGCAAATAACATCTCTGGTAGACACAAGGAACCGTTCCCTCTAGTAATAATAGATAGAGAAATGGAATACGAAGTTGAGAAAATACTTGACTCGAAATTAATCTGGAAGGAACTATATTATCTAATTGAATGGAAAGACTGTAACCCTAGCGAACGCTTGTAGAAACCTGCCGAAAATGTGGTGCATACCGAAGAGGCTGTAAAAAGTTTCCACCAGCTATACCCTCATAAATCTGGACCAAAAACAACTTTGAGAAAATCAAAAAAAAAGAAGAAGAAAGGCATTAAGGGGGGAGATAATATTATAGTTACATGGCCAAGCTGCTCAAGCCCATGACTCAAGCCTGACTCAAGCCTGTAACTCAAGCCTGACTCAAGCCCATGACTCAAGTCTAATTCAAGCCCAACTCAAGCCCGTGACTCAAGCCCGAAGCCCAGATTCATTATGAATTCAAGACTTCATTTGTATAAGAAATGAAGTAATCTAGTTGTAATAACAAAGCCATGCATTAACAATGTAGTTATAGTTTCATAGAACCTTAGCAATCATACGATAGCAATTAGTAATTAGTAATAGAAGAATTACAAGATAAAAAGAAAGAAATTGTATATTTATCTCTTTAGTCTGTTCAATAAATTTTTCATTGTAGGGTGTGGTAACTTAGTGAAGTGGTGGAGTTGTCACACTCTCAAATGGCAGGTCTAGAGTTTGAATCTCACAGACGACGATTTTGAAAAAACTAGATCTGTATCGGTTAACGTTAAGATTATTGGTTGGATCCAGATATCTGTAATCTT